CTGAATACAATTCCAAATGTACACTATAGTCCCTAAACCCCTTTACAGCATTGGGGGTTGAATAATTTTGGTCACAACTGTACATGTAATTCAGTCACACTTTCAGGGGAAAAGGACACCTTTGCTTTGGATACCAGAGGACCTTGTATTGGTTCCCGCAAAGGGAGACAGCGGCACAGGAGGCACAACGTGTACAGGTAAGTAAATATGAACACCAATAAGCCTCACTGACACCATGCTAACCTTAAAAAGCAGAACATCGATGCCCACCCTCCCTGCACGGAGCACTAATGCTCCTCCTCTCCCCCCACAGAGCATCAGTGTCCCCTTCTCCCCCCATACAGCATCAGTGTGCTCTTTTCCCCCCATAGATTATCAGGTCCTCCTCTGTTCCCTCCACAGAGCATCAATGCTCCCCCTCTCACCCCACAGAGTACAAGTGCCCCTTCTTTTCCCACACTGGGGCATTTCTTCCTCCCATTAACCACCAACAGCGCACATTTTCCCCCCACTGACAACTGATGTTGGCTTTTTTTTTTCTCCCACTGACATTGGGTATTTTCCGTTCCGCTGACAAAAACCACCCAACCATCAATGGCAAACATTTTTTCTCTGCAATCAACCATCAACATCAGCCATTTTTTTCCTTCCATTGACTACGAACACTGGTTATCTTTTCCTTTTGCTGCCCAGAAATACAAAGGGCCCTATAACACATTTTGCTGACCACTGCAATCTGTACAATATGTTGTACATAATGTACCTACCGCTGGACAATAATAAAAATGTAATATGGTTAAGTGGTTAGCACTTCTGCCTGGCATTACTAGGGTCATTGGTTTGAAACCCAGCCACAGCACAGGGCTCTGAGGAAGAGGCAAGTCCTCGAAACGCGTCAGCCTTTTGGATGTCTATACTCCCTATTGCGGACTGTTACTCAGCGCGGTGTTGACCCAGCTGTTCTTTATGATGTGCCTTGACTATATTGTCGTTTGTGAGTACAACACATACTTTATTTTTTATTAAACATTTTTTATGGTAATGCACTAGGCCTGTGCGCCCTCTCTTTGTTCTTTCCTCATTCAGTATATTTGGATTTCCCCGGTCCATTTGAGGGCAGCAAGGTGTGCATGTTCCAGGACATTCCTTATGTGGTTGTAGCCTGCATCGAGTCCATCCCCAAGCGCAGGAGCATTTGTGTTTGCTGGTTACCTGCACAGAAATTGCATGCTCTTCCTGTGCCTGTGTGGGTTTCCTTTGGGTACTCTGGTTTCCTCCCACACTCCAAAGATATGCTGGTAGGTTGTCTCCTGTCTAAATTGGCCCTAGTATGTGTATGTATGAATGTGAGTTAGGGTCCTTAGATTGTACACTACTTGAGGGTTAGGGACTGATGTGAATGTACAATAAATGTAAAGCGCTGTGTAAATTGATGGTGCTATATAAGTACCTGTAATAAATAAATGTAATATGTTGACGCTTAAATATGGTGACTGCATTAGTTTGCTTTTTCTTTATTTTACCTGGTGATCCTGCCAGTAACACACTTTCTGTCCTAGGCAGCCCATACATGATGACAGTGGGGAGACTTCCCCGCCATCAGAATACACTGATCAGTACTGCCAGCCTTAGCCCGTGGCACTGATTGAGTGAAAAATTTCCAACAGACCAACAGGGCAGTTGTACAGAAGTCAATTGGTAAATCAACTTCTTTACAACCTTTGTGCCCATACATGAATCCATGAATCCAAATTCAGCCAGTTCACCAGGAATTTCAATTATGTATGGCTAGGGAGTAGAAATGCAGACACCTTTGGACAGCACAATTGTCAGTCTGGGAAAAGGGTAGTGTTACACTAGGAGATTTAGATCAGCTTGACTAACAAATTGAATCTGAACACCAGCTAACACCTTATAAGTAGTTACAGCATACTTTTTTTTTCCTTTTTGAGATAGAGGTTTTATATAATTGAAAAAAGCTGACCATTTTAAGCACCTCTATCAGTGTTAAATGGTTTGTCTCAACCCTTTAACTGCTACTTTGTCTGGACGGCTTGGTCTGATAAAGGACATTAAGAAATTACAGACTTACTGGCTGGATCTGCACTATGATTGGACACAACGCGAGTTTGACAGCTAATTTCAGCCAATGATTTTGGCTCAAATCAGCTGATCAGCTGTGTCTAATCACACACAGTCCTGTGTTTACAAAACACAGAACTCTGTGTACAGGGAGCAGCGATTTTGGCTGTTTATTCTCCCTGCAAAGCAGTAGGAATAAACAGCCGTAAAGTAAAAGCACCACACACAGTAGCACACACAACTCCTTCCCAGCCAGTGTCATTATACAGTGACAGTGTACAGTGTTAGCACTGTTAATTGTATTAGTGTCACTATTAATGTCAGTTAGTGCACCTCCCAGCCAATGCCAGGGAGCACCAGATTTCCATGCACACTAACACAGTCCCAGTATAAATTGCTGATCCCCACCATTACCAGTATAGCATCACAGCTGTGTAAATTCCAGTATATAAAAGCATAGTTTGTAGTTGCTAGACCTTTTCCACAAACAAATTAATATACACTTACTGGAATTTTTTTTCACCAAAGATATGCAGCAGAATGAATGATTTTTTTTTTTATTGGATAGGTTTTATCGTAGATCATAGAAAATATTGTTTTTTTCCAAAATGTTCTGCTTGTTTTTGTTTATATAATAATAAAAAATAAAAAACCCAGTGGTGCTCAAATATGACCAAAAGAAAGCTCTATGACCACACAAATACCAGTGAAAGTAGCGCAGTGCCGAATAACTAAAAATGCCTAGTCACGAAGGAGGTAAAACCCTCCAGAGCTCAAGTGATTATTTAGAAAAAGCATTACATACAGCTCACTAGCATTAACAAGGACATCCTTGGCTAAGTGGATGGATGTTGTTGACTGGTTCATGTACAGTATTACATAACACCATACAGACAAAGGCATTCTAGACAAATAGCAGTTTTTATTTCAGATAATGTGCCTGTCAAAGAAATGTGACTACAATCTCCTTTTATAAAAGCAGACCCTGAAGTATTATGGTAGCAACATTTGCTATAGCATGAATTCATTCCTGGACTGAACGCAAAGCCATTCAGTCTCATAAGCTATAAAGACAGAATCATTCATTTTTTGTCCTTCATTTTTTATCTGCCCTTTATTTTTTTGCAACGAAATTTGCTGTAATAATCCTTTAACTTGTTTGCATAGCTTGCCGGGTTCTTCATGCAGCAAGAAGACAATCCAGATACGCTTCAATTATTAATGCTATAAAACCACAAACAGAAGTCCAGGGGATTGACCTAAACTCCTTAAAGCAGAACTCCAGTATTTATTTGATACTCATCTGCAGCAGCAGAGTGTGTCCTGATAGGAGATCCACAGAAAGATGTCTTCCTTGTGAGGGTTCTAATATGTGGGCCATGGACATCCAGCATTGCACAGCCATTTACTCCTTTGTTGAGATCACACCCCTCTGTAGTTCTAAAGTTCTATGTGGGTGACTTAATTGTGTAACAGCAAATGATGAACATGACTGGTGGAAAAGTCACCTTCTTAGATACAGGTCTAGTAACACAGACATTGGCTGAGAGAATATCCTCCCTCTTTCCTAGTTGGTGACCATGTACAGAGTGGTGGGGAAGCAAACCCACCCAAAAGGAAAATATAAGCTGCTGATGAGGCTGCATTAAAGCTAAGCTCCAGGAAAAGCAAAATGGATCTAAATAAAAGAGGTATGTGTTTTCTTACTTGAATCTTAATTCCTGTAATAAAGACCAGTCACTGCTGCTCTCTCTGCTTGGGCAAAGACTGGTCTTGTCTCCACCCCCTCCTGTACTTTTCTGCATGGCCTGCTGGGCCCCTCCCACAGCTCTGCTCTCTGCACAGTTTGTGTGTGGCACCAGGGCCGGAGCTTCCATTAGGCAAACTAGGCAGCCGCCTAGGGCGCACTGCCACTTAGGGGCGCTTGGGTGCAGCACTGGTCTGTGTGGGATACCGCCATGTCATGAATGAACCTTCATATGGGGGGGGGGCAGCAGAGGGGGGAGGAAAAAAGGACAGAGGAAGATGCCGGGTGTCTGGGGCCAGTGTAGCAGCTCAGCTGCCGTTCCTTCCAGTGTTCCTCTCAAACTCAGTCCCTTACTGAAAGCTGGCTGGCGGCTGCTGATCACTGTGGAGTTCCAGCCCTTCTCTTCCCATTCATCAGTGGAGGCAGAGCTGCTCCTGCGGAGGAAGGTAACATCTGACACTGATGTCTCGTGTCTGTGTGAGTGTGACCCGGCAGCCCATCCATCACATGTGCACCCGCGGATTTGCCACAGGTCTTTACCAGGTCCTCATGGGAGGTTTCCGGCACAGGCACCCTGAGATCTGGGACATCTTTGTTGTTGCACATGTGTGGGAAAACTCACCACATGCTTGCTGATGTGCCACATGACCTTAAGCACCATGGCATATCTGCACATGCGGCAAATCCTGTGGTATGCATGCACCATCAGTGGCAGGAGAGCCCAACATAATTCTCACCTAGGTGAGAAAGCAGGAAGTGCTGTGCTGCAGCACAAAAAAACATAAAAAAAACACACAAAAAAGCCATTTTTTTTAAATCTAATGGTGAAAGGAGGGGAGGGGTAGATACAAATTAGTTGCTATACTGGGTGATGGTTCACGTTGTGTTTATTATTGTCAAGACAGGTCATCAACCTTGCTGTGCTGTATGGCAAAGTTGTGTACATCTTAGGGCTGGTGAGACAAAATGACAAATCCCTTAACTAGAAAAGCAGCTCCCACTTCTGCAATCAGCTGTTTGCCTGCATTTCAGCTTCGAGGGATTTTACAACTAACATAACACAAATATGACTGTGCCCCTGTGATCATATTATCTTTTAAAATCCCACACAAGAACCTTTCAAACATTCTTGCTTACATAAAATATTGATATTTACAAAGTGTATACTCACCAGGTGGCTTATTAATGGCGAGGTTACGAAAGTGGCTTCCTTTGATCATTTGCACAGAAAGGCGTCCTGTAGTGGCGTTATACGACAGCCCCACCAGAAGTTCCGGCACCCCGCCATGTGACAGAGATTGTGAGGACAAAGCGCTACCAGTCGGCGAGACCGCAGAAAAACTGAACCGGGAGTTACCGCTCTGTGGAAATACAGCACAATATATTGGTTAGACATTCTGACTATTATCAGTATCAGTACTATTCAGTTCTGTAGCAAAAATATGTTCCACAGTTATGTTCAATGAGAAGTGTCTCTCGTGATGCTGGCTGCTCTCTTAGCTGAAATCTTCAGTCCTTTTCTCCCCCCCGTCCCCGCCATACTTCCACTGCAGTAATCTGGTGCTGCAGGGGTTAATACAATGAGCTAGGATCACAGGCACGCATCAAGAGTGGCGACTATGCCTTTCTCCCCTTCCTTCTTTCATAGAAGGCATTGGGTTAAAACGAGTGCTGGATTTGTCACAGGCACTCATCAAGACTGCCAACTTTGCCCGCCCTTGCTGTCCCCTCCTTCATTCATACAAGCCGTACTAAAGCTTCCATCAATGAAAAATGCTCTATGAATGGATGAGGTAGACCTTTCATTCATCTCCCCGTCCTTCATTCATAGAGCACTTTTCATTGATGGAAGCTATAGTACAGCTTCTATGAATGAAGGAGGGGACAGAAAGGGCAGGCATAGTCGCCAGTCTTGATGAGTGCCTGTGACAAGTCCAGCACTCGTTTTAACCCAATAGCACCGTAAGATGACAACTGCGGTAGTACCAGGGGAGGACTGACCATTTGGAAACTCGGGCACTGCCCGAGGGCCCGGGGTCAGTAGGGGGCCCCATGAGATGCCCCCGGTACCTTTTTCATAGGCTTTTTGACTTTGGGCAAGGACACAGGGGCCCCATGATCCCCTATTGCCCGGGGCCCCATGAGTTGTCAGTCCGCCCCTGGGTAGTACGAAGGTTCGGATTTCGGATTCCAACTAAGAGTAGCCAGTAGCACAAGGGACTGATTTTTTTTTTAACCACTTGCCCTCCAGAGGATTTACGCCCCTCCCTGACCAGGCCATTGTTTGCGATACGGCGCTGCATTACTTTAACTGACAATTGCACGGTCATGCAACACTACACCCAAATGAAATTTATGTCCTTTTTTTCCCACAAATTTTTCTTTCAGTGGTATTTGATCACCACTGCGTTTTTAATTTTTTGCGCTATAAACAAAAAAAGACTGACAATTTTGAAAAAAAACAATCTTTTTTACTTTTTTGCTATAAAACATATCCAATAAAAAATTTTTTAAAAATCAAACTTCATCATAAACTTAGGCCAAAATGTATTCTGATACATGTCTTTGCTAAAAAAAAATCCCAATACGTGTAAATTAATTGGTTTATGTGAAAGTTATAGTGTCTACAAATGGCGGTACACTGTAGATACTGGAATTTTTTATTTTTATTTTTCTTTATACTAGTAATGGTGGTGATCAGCGACTTATAGAGGGACTGAGGTGGACATTCTGACACTGGGTGGGAACTAAGTGCCACTTAGTGATCAGTGCTAATAAAAAGCACTGGCACTGTACTAATGACACTAGTAGGAAGGGGTTAACATCTGGAATGATCAAAGGGTTAAGTGTGTGCTGTGTTTGTTTTACATTAAGCGCTGTGTTGTGTTTTACTATGGAGACACGCTGCTTTGTATTTCTCTGCTGTGTAGAGAAATACAAAGCAGCATGTCCTTGCTGACAGGAGATAGACCTGTGTTGCTTACACACAGGTCTGTCCCCTGTCAGCTTTCCCTGACGATCGCTGAGTGCCAGCTGGGAGTCGCCATCCAGGACCCAGTGATTGACATCCCTAGCCACCAATAGCAGCACGGGTTGGGCGGCGGGCCACGTGCCCCCTACCCAGAAATGTGATTTTGTGCATCCCTGCCACCCTGTAGCCGTACTTCTGTTTTAGGGTGGCAGGCAAGCGGACTATAAGAAGGCTTTAAGGTCTCATTTACACCACAAAACCTGCATTCAATGTGCAGCTCTGCATGTGTGTTAATGGCACCCCAAGCGCAGTAAAATAGATGTTCATTTTTCATATGAAAGGACATGCGGTTAAAAAAAAAAATGCAGCACTTTAACCTCAAAAAAAGTGCATCAGCTACTTTGCCGTGCTTGTCGCACATAGGGCAGCTCATTAAAATGAATGGGCTGCCCTATGCGTGTGGTGGGACAATGCACATATACACGTCACGATTTTGTTCACGTTATGCTAGAATGATAGCATGGCCTTATAGCATTTTGTGAGATCATGCAATTTTGTGCTGTGTATGTGTGCTCCACATACATGGGGCAGCACATTCATTTTAATGGGTGCCCTATAAGCGACAAATGCGGCAAAGTAGCTCATTCACCTTTTTCAGCTTCAACTGTCAGGTGTTTTTAACTGAACGTTTGCCTCCATTTTCAGTGAAAGGCATTGCATGACATGCGTCTTTTGCATTTTTTTTTTTATAGTGTGCAAAATTGCAAGTGCAGCCTTAGAGTAATAAGAAAGTGGATACATACATACAGACAGACACACAGTACAACATCAATTATATTGATGCTCCCAGGTTGCTGACTGCATGTTTTCTGAAAACCTGTCAGTAAAACCTTACACATATTATGTTGTCACTGATAGCGCTTCTTTTGTCACATTCTAATATTTCCATCAGATGGTGACAAATCTTCAGCTGGTTACTATGCTGATTGCTAATTTCATATGCTGTTGCACTATATACAGTAAATTGCTGTTGTGATATGATACATAGGATGCATTTCTGGTGCGATATAATTTACTGTTAATATAATGTGCTATAGTAAAAGCTGCCTAGTGTTCTGCCACAATTTGAAGTGCTTCTATTAGGGGATATAATTTCCTATTGTGGCTTGATGTGTTCTTACTAGGTTATACAATAGTAGTTTCTGCAGCTGTATAATGTGCTGTCACAGCTTGACATAGCGTGCTGTAGTGGTTTGTATAATGTTCTATGGCGGTGCAGTATAATGTTAGCAATTCAAGTTAACGTGTGTGTGATTTGGGGAATTATCTTGTAATCAAGCACACTCCATTAAGCACATATACCAAATGCCTTGTTCATCAAAACAACAGCCTAGTGCCATAAATTATACATATTAATTATCCAACACTTTCCAAGTCATCTGCAAAAAGGACTTATCCAATGATCCATTCATTATAGCTCAATATTAAATGTGCAACCCAGCAAGCAGCAAGTTAAAGTATAAAATTCAATCATCAATGGCTCAAAACATGCTTTTTGAAATTGAAAAAAAGAGTAAGAATGGCCATAAAAGGATAATAGCGGTATTAGACACTCCAATAGCACTTGCGGCAGCTTAATCCTGAGTGTGAGAAGCAACCTCTGTATAAACAGGAAAAAAGAGAGAAGGAAAGCGCCATCTAAGTGCAGCATGAAATTAAGTATTTATTCAACTCCAAATTGGCAACTCACATGCCTAAATATATAAATTGTTCATCGAAGAGTCATAGGCACTGCAGACTTCCGGTCCTGCAGGCCCTGCCTGGTGGAAAGCGTGACTGCCCACTGCTTGGACAGGGCTTAAGACGCTGGCCGGGCAAATCGGAGCCCCTGTAACCAGCCTGGAGTTCGATACTTGATTTTATGCTGCACTTAGATGGTGCTTTCCTTCTCTCTTTTCCTTTTAAAATCAAACCCGTTCACTTCCTGGTATGAAGACTTTCTTGCTTTTACTTGCTGCTACTGGCTTGCACTTTAACAAAACTTTATCAGGGATCTCCACACTTTCTAAACAAAGGGCCAGTTTACTGTCTTTTAGACTTTAGGGGGGCTGGACTGTGGCCACTGGGACTAGAAAATTCCCCAGTGTCAGTGGGAATAAGCAATGCCTCAGGTTTAGTGGCCACTGAGAGTAACATAATACATAGTAGAAGGAGGAATAATGCTCCATCACTGGTAAAAGTAGGAGGAATAGTGCCCCATTGTTGGTGTCAGTGGGAGGAATAGTGCCCCATTGTTGGTGTCAGTGGGAGGAATAGTGCCCCATTGTTGGTGTCAGTGGGAGGAATAGTGCCCCATTGTTGGTGTCAGTGGGAGGAATAGTGCCCCATTGTTGGTGTCAGTGGGAGGAATAATGCCGCATTGCTGGTGTCAGTGGGAGGAAATATGCCCCACTGTTGATGTTAGTGAAAGGAATAGTGCCTAGTATCAGAGGGAAGAATAGTGCTCCAAGGACCACATAAAGGCAAGCAAAGGGCCACAGTTTAGAGACCACTGAGCTTTATGAACTGAAACATTGTAATCATAAGTCCTTTGTGCATATGGCTTTGGTTAGTCGATTTTGGCAATCAGTCACATTGCACTGTATTTGCAACACTCATGTAAACTATTATGATTTTGTTTTATGTTCTCTTTGCCACCCATTGAAAGGAAGTGATATGGCATATTTGAAATGGTCCATTTTCAGTTTAATAATTTCTGTGTTTTGGAATGAAAATAAGAGCAAGAAAATGGTAAGAAAGAGTTTCCATCTACAGGTTTCTGTGAGTAGCTAAATAGCTACAGCTTTTCCCTTTGGTTTTCAGACTTCATTATTAAAACTGGGATACAGTATGTACTTGATACTCAATAGAGCTGAGGAAGCTTTTTGGATAAACAGAAAAATATCTTCTACTTTACAGAACAGGTTCGGTTGAATGTGAATAACTACTACCTACAGACGTCTATCTCCACCAAGGTTCCATTGAACCCTAGGGTTCCTCCTGAGCTTGTTAGGGGTTCCTTAAAGTGAAACTAAATGATACACCTACTCTCCAAAAATAATCCACAAATTTCCACTATGGCCCTGTAATCTATTTTTCATGAAATGGTTTTACTGTATTTTTCTCCATTCTTGTAAAATCCTCCATAGGTTCCCAAACCTCTCCTTTTCCCTTTCACATGTTTGGAATGAGTAGCACAAGTTAGTTGTGATAGTGTGCTCTATGGCCACTTCAAATCCCACATCCCACAGTCCATAGTCCCTATATACGCTATTTCTATAAGTTTTATAAATATTTACTTTTATACTTTAATACATATGTTGTGTGAATATTTTCTGCCTGCTGGGCTTT